TGTATCTGGATTGGTTGATAGATCAATTGAAGGAAAAGAGAGAGAGAAAGTGTTTATTTCCTATTTATCAACATGAAGGAAAGTATGTCTCCCTTATTATATAATAATAATTGTAAATATAGCACTCATATATTATATACTGTAATACTATGTAAAAAGTATACTACATGGAGATAGGCATTATTCCAGCAATGCAAATTTGGTTAATATTGGGTATGATAGAGAGCATCTTTGAATTTTTTATTTACAGGACTTAAACAGGAAATTAATTTATCAAACTGATCCAAGGGTATGCTAGGGGAGATAAGCACATGTCAGCACATTCATTTCAAATTTGAAAAAAAATGTATATTTGGGGTATTTGGGGCATGTAATTGTATACAAGCAGATAAGCTTATCAATGAATAAATAAAATTAATGTTTTCTTACCCATTCTTATACACAGGACTATAAACAAATATGCTTACATAATTTAGGCATTTCCCCTTTAGTTATATTTGGGTTTTCTCTCCCTCTCTTTTTTTAAATTGCTGTGACAATATCTGAGTTACTATTTGTTTTTCTTGTTCAGAGAAGGAAGTCTTACATGATATAATAGTGCATATTCAAAACATTATCTCAGCCATTGACGAGAGCTAAGTATTTTTATGGTGTCTCTTGCTTTCCTTGTCATTACAAAAGAGCCAGCTACAAAATGATCTGTTTACTTAAAGGGGATTATATCAGAAGCATCGGTCTTAATATATTCTGGCTTATTTTCCCTCTAAAAACAACCCAGTGAATAGTGTCTAGTTTATTATTGCCTCAATGATGATGTTTAAGGAGCACTGGAATGAAAACAGGTTTGTGGACGTGTAATGCTGGTTGGTCCAACATTTTGTTATTCTTGNCATTGCTCTTTTTTCTTAGGATTGCTTTGGCTATTTGGGGTCTTTTGTGGTTATGTCAAATCTGATGATTGTTTGTTCTATTTCCTTAAAAAATGCCATTGAGATTTTAATGTGGGTAATCCCTATAATTATCTGTAAGTGGTTAAAAATGTAATAATAGTGGAAATGATAGTTATAAACACAATGTTCCTATTTAAATGTTTTATCCTTTGGTGTACTACTTTAAAATAATGTTTGTTTTTCTTTGTTTCACAGGTGGCTGATAAAGGATATATATGTCGGATAAGCAAAGATCCGTGTGATTTTACAGAATTTTGCAATGGGAGCATTGAGTATTGCCCACGTGATGTAACATCTGCTGATTTTGAACCATGTAATAATCATACTGCCTTTTGCTATAAGGGAATATGCCGAGATCGAGATCTACAGTGTATGGAATTATTTGGAAAATGTAATAATTGTATCTTTTTTCTGGGATTCATTTTTAAACTCTATTTTTCTTGTCAGTAATCTACCCTATAAGTCACAATAAAAAGTATTTTTTGTTTAAATCTAAACTTGAAAATGAAATTGCAGATCAAAGCAATTTTGAATAATGTCAGGAGATAAAATAGAACTAATAAGTACAGGACAAAGAGAATAGAGCATTAGTTAAATTTCAAGCGATTAGTGTAAAGGGTTATGGATAAAAGAGAAAATAACTGATTTCTTAAACATTTCTGCACTATGACACCAATTTTCAAGCAGGTAGTTTTTAGTAAGTGGTTCTCCTTCTTACATAGCCAGTAGATGACATCAGAAATTTGTAGTAGACCACTGACTGGGAATTCCTGCTGTCTAGATATCTCTATATTGATTTAACCACACTTTCAGTTTTTAATGTTTTATTTTAAGATTAATAATTAGAACTTCATTTATCTTTTCAGTTGCTAAAAGTTCTACTTACCTGTGTTCAGAAGAAATAAATTT